CTGTTTCGAATCTTGTTGAGAGAAGCGTGGATTTTCCATTAGTTACCGGAACTTTAGATGAAGATGCAGCTGTTCTTACTAACGTTTTGAAAACTTGTACCAATAAATTAGTTGAACAAAAGTTTGTTTCTTTGAAAAACTCGAACAGCTGGTACAATTTGGATCTTTTGCGTCTTAAACGTAAGAGGGACAAATGGTACAAAAAGTTTTGTAGATCTAATAGTGATAATCATTGGAATAGGTACACGGTCGCGCGTAATAAATATTCACAATCGATTAAGAAAACTCGATGTGAATATATTCAGAGGAAAATTGATCAGCATCAAAACAACAGCAAAGAGTTATGGAAAATTTTGAAATCTTTGATGAAGCCTAGTAATTGTAAATCGCGGACCATAACTTTTGATGGCATATTAGAACAGTCAGAACAAGTAATTGCTTCTAAGTTTAATGACTATTTCGTCGAGAGCGTTTCACTGATCAATCAATCTATTGAACTGATCAATGAACCGGACGAAATAAAACAGCCGATTAATAGTAATTGTAGATTTGATGGTTTTCACCCAATTACATTAGATGAACTTAAAAATATTTGCTTTTCATTAGGAAAAACGGCTGGAGTAGATAATGTTAATGCTAGAGTTATTCAAGATTGCTTTCATGTCATTCGACACACTCTGCGGGACCTTATTAATCAATCATTGCAATCTGGGCACGTGCCGCATATTTGGAAAGAATCTTTAGTTGTTCCTATACAAAAAGTTGCTGGGACGATTAAAGCCGAAGAGTTTCGTCCCATCAACATGTTGCACACATTAGAGAAAATTTTGGAACTTGTTGTAAAAGGCCAGCTGTTAGAATATTTAAATAGTAACTGTTTGTTGATACCGGAACAATCGGGATACCGGGAAGGCCATTCTTGTGAAACCGCGTTAAACTTAGTGTTAGCTAAATGGAAAGAAAATTTGGAGCATAAAGATACGATTGTTGCTGTGTTTTTGGATCTAAAACGCGCTTTTGAGACAATTTCTAGGCCCTTATTGTTAAGAACAATCAAGCGCTTTGGAATTTCGGGTTCTGCATACAAATGGTTTGAAAGCTATTTATCTGACAGAACACAAAGGACTGTTTTTAATGATTTTGTATCTTGTCCCGTTAACAATGACCTTGGAGTGCCTCAGGGAAGTGTATTAGGGCCCCTTTTATTTATTATGTATATTAATGACATGCGACGAGTTTTACGGTTTTGTGATATTAATCTTTTTGCTGACGATACTGTGTTATTCATTGCAGCTAAAGAGTTAGAAGAAGCCGTTTCACGCTTGAATGAAGATTTGCGTTCTCTAAGTAGATGGTTGAAGTATAAACAATTGAAATTGAATATAAGTAAAACTAAATTCATGGTAATTTCGCGGAATCGTGTAGATGATGATGTCTGTGTTGTTATTGATGATGAGACACTTGATCGCGTTCAGGAAATTAAATATCTTGGCGTGATTATTGATGACAAACTCAAGTTCAATTCTCATATTGACAATGTCATCAAGAAAATTGCCAAGAAGTATGGAATCCTATGTCGCTTGAAAAACGATTTAACTATTGGTAGTAAAATACAGTTATACAAATCAATCATCTCCCCTCATCTAGACTTTTGCCCTTCCATTTTATTTTTGGCAAATGAAACACAAATATCGAGATTACAGCGTTTGCAGAATAAAGTAATGCGTTTGATTTTAAGATGTAATAGATTCACTTCCTCAACTTTTATGCTGGACGCTTTGCAATGGCTGTCAGTGAAGCAAAGAATTGTGTTTTTGACTATGGTGTTCATTTTTAAAGTAGTTAACGGTTTGCTGCCTCGATATTTGTGTGATCGGATTGAAAGAGGAAGTGATTTTCATAGATATAACACTAGAAACGCGGATGAAGTAAGAACACCACATCTTTTGAATAATGCTTCACAAAATTCATTATTTTTCAAAGGTATAAATGTTTTCAATTCGATGCCTAGACACATCAAGCGTGCAACTACACTTACAGAATTCAAGAGACGCTGCATTTCACATGTAAAAGCTGTTTATTGAGCAGTTAAATTTTTATGAATGGATAAATCATGTATCTTGACAAAGTTATCTCTAACGGATTATTTTGTATGGAGACTGTCATATAGACATTTTAGTAATTGGTGTAGCATATACAAAAAACTACATTGTTTGCCTCGATGGTGATGATGGATTTTTAGTTTTTTGATTTTGTAGTAGTAATAGTAAAAATAGCTTTGAGTAGTCTACGATGGTTTGAGCCTCGCGCGCGGAATACAGGTATAACTGACTAATACGTGGAAATTGTGGCAAAAGCCTTGAATTAGTAAAGGGTTGGCTGGAAGTCGTTTCCTTGGATATAGTCCTGGCACTGCGGAAGCTTAAACGTGTAAATCCCAGGTCACGTGTAAATGGAAGTATTGTCGAGGACTATACTTGGACTTTTGATAACTAGTTACACCTTTGAATGTTTTTGGTTGATGCCTATAGCATATTTAACAGGACATTTATATCTGTAATTGTAACCAGCTCGATTTTGTTTGCAAACCTGGTTAAAATGTTTATATTTAATTATCTTAAAGATAACTCGTCCAGCTCAAACCTTTGTAGGGGTAAGAGGTGGGACCATCATCATCATCATCATCATCTTATTGTATTATCCTCTTGAATATAACCAGCCTTGGGATACATAGCGGTATGATTAAAAAGAGTTTACTCTCCTGTGTTTCTTTTACGGGGTAAGTAAACTGCCTCTTGTTTTTCAGTGCAGTTGTTTTTTTTTCTCTGCAGTGTGAGCAGTGTTTGCATGAACTAATAGGAAACTCGGAAATTGAAGTAAACAAAGATGTTCTTCTGATATGCAAGATTTCTGAAACTGAACTAAAACTACTCATTGATCACCACAAAAATTTCAACGTGCGGAAATATTACGAACGGCTTGAAAACAGAATCCTAATGAGCATCTGTAATGCTGGGTTTAGACTAGGCAAGTCAAATGATCAACTCAATTGAATTCAATTGGCTTGAAAAGTTGAGCCTAGTTCAACTTTTTTCAATTCAAGTGAGTTGATCAAGTCAGTTGAATGGCATGGTTTACACGTTCAATTCGCGTTCAAGTCAGTTGAATTCAACTGGTTTGATCAATTGACTTGCCCTGTCTAAACCCAGCTTAACATTCATCAACATGTTTTTTTGCAACTATCAAGACATATTTTGGAGCAGATCCAGTAAACAATCATCGCAATATCTTGATAAAATTGTGCATTGATTTTTATTTAAAACTACGGCTAGAGGAATATGCCAAAAACATGGGAGGCACTAAGAATTCTATCCGTAAAAAAACTTACAAAATTGATTCTGTTTCGCGGTGAGTAGCAGATTTGCTGGATGAAGACGAGCAATTTGTACATCCATTTAAAATTGAAGAAATAAATAAAATGATATAAACTAAATCAAATAAGGGTCTCACAAAAAATTATTTACGATGAGCTTCTAAAACGAATAAATTTAAATCATTGCCTTTTGTTCCAACCATCCGTATCTTCAACCTTATTCCTCACTAATCTTGAAGCCTCAAGAAACAGATGAATCCATAAGCTGGTATGTTCTATTATTTAGTTACACAGTTATGGGCATAGTGAAAATGACAACACAAATACCATGAAAAACCCTAAAAATGCACTGATCATTTAAGTGAAGAGGATGTTAACCAGAATTTTCAAGAATATCAGCTAAAATTGAGTTCTGACGATTTTTGTATATATTTTTGCAAAGATCCGTAATCGCAAGAAATTAAAAAAAAAATCAAATCATATGTGTAAGCTTTTCGTTATGAACTGCTCAAATACAAACGCTACACCAAATTAAAAAAAAAATGTTTCATCTACTGATTACGTATTGTATTGATTATGTACTACTGAGAATCATAACGACATTTCTCGCTGGCATCACTGTAGTTCGTATGTTGCTAATGTTAATTTTTACATCGGACGTCACGTGTCCAAACCGGTGGACGCGCGAAAATAAGATGAATTTCAAGTTTTATTTTTATTTACTGTACATCATTTCCGAATTCGCCCTATTCAGATAACACTTCTGAAATTTGTGAGTTTGACAGAACCACCAGCACCAAATTGTCGGGGTACACTGGAAATATACTGAAGTTGTCAAGTTGCCAGGGAGTTGAAAATATATTGAATTGGTTCCGCTTTTTGATAGATCGAAATTCTATCCGCCAGACTATGAATATAACGACTTTAGGGGCCCCATCTCAAGAATCATAAAATTTCATGACAACATTGATAAAATTTTCATTTGAACATTTTTCAAAAGTTGTTTTTTGGAAAATTGAAAAAGTATTTATGCCAGCAGATTTAGTAATATCCTATCGATTGGCGTATTTGGAGTTTAATTTCAGTTATAAATGACCAAGTTACAAGCGTTCAAAACCTAACACTATTTCACCACACATATTTTTTGATTTGCACCCCAGTATTTATAGTCGACTGAGACGTAGTTCTACGTCAAAAAACTATCTAGTTAATGAAGAGTCCCATACATGGACCTATACTGCCGTTATTCGCATAACAGTCCCATGGCCTATGGATTTCTTATTCACTTGGGACTGTTATGCGAATAGTAACAGTATATTATATTAAATGCTACCCCGTTGAGTTTTTGCAAAATGTGTGATACTAGCATCGAAGGAAACACGCCAAAATTTATCATCGTTATGTATTTTTTTTCAAATCGATGTGGATAAAATAATTTGATACTATAGAATTTAATTTTTCTTCCTATTTAAATTGTATTATGCTTGTATCAGTAGACTTACCTTTAAAGCGTTCTTCCTACTTGCCACGCAATTCTACTTCAAAATGACGTTGAATTAAATGTGAATCTTTCAATTGTATCAACTTAATGCAGTGTTTCAAATTACAATAAAAATATAAAGAAGAGTGGGCAATAGGACACAATAGCATCAGACTAAAATATATTTTTGTGTACATATACGTAAACAGTTGTTGTTACCCAAAGGAAGTACCTACTGTTATAAGGCTAATAAACACATAGTTTCCGGAACGCAAGAGAAGACCAACGAGTTGGAACAGAAACAAATTACACAATCTCGTACTTATCGGGGTAGAATAGGGTTTCGGTTGAATACTTAATATCCGATTCGTCATCGACCAGTTGCACTTTCACTATCTGCAACTCGGCGTAGGGAATTTTCGACGAGAACGATACCTATTGACAAGGGAAAATTGTTTTTAAGCGCGTAATGGAAAATAGTTAAAGGGTCACTTACGTCCAGTGGGAAGAAGTCACCCGGGATCGAGTTGGGTACGGTGAATTCCATCGAACCTTGCTTGCTGGATGCATCAATGACGGGTAGATTCCACTGCAGAGTATTCTTGCGGGAGTCGTGATGATAGTCGCCGTCACATTCCGCTATGGATGGAGTAATTCCCATGCTGCAAGGTAGATAAGTAATGTAAGCTAAGGGGCACGGTATATTTGACTGAACGCAAAACCTACGGCAATGGAATGGTAATGCAGACATCCTGAAGCTCAAGTCGGGTATGTTCCAGTTCGTATTCAATGTTAACATCGCAACCACCTTCAGCATTCTCCGAAGGCCAGCAATTAACTGTTGGGAAAGTTGAATATTAGATTCAATAATACAAAGAGAACATCCACGGCAACACGTACTGGTCAGAGGAATGGCAGATTCATCTTGCGTCTGATATCGCCATTTTAAAACGCCAACATCTGTATTCATTGGGAACGGTTTTGCTGGATTCTTCAAACCGATTTGACCCTTACTCTTGAATAGTTCCTTATCGACATTGGGATGCGTTTGCAGTTGAATGCCTCGTTGGTCTGCATTTTGCAATTGCACCTTAATTCGACCGTATTTTTCGTCTGAAATGCGCAAGGTCAACAATCCAGACAGTTCAAATGCTTGCAAACCTCCGTCACGACCGATGCGGACCACAATTTTGTCTTCCATACGAAGATGCACCCTGTAGTAAAGGCACATAGATAGTAATAGATGATCAAGGAACTTTCATAGAATTAATACTCACTCATCCATTGGAACATCTGAAACCGGTTTAGCTTTAACCACCGCCGAAGTAGCTGAAGGCGTTGGGTTAGCAACGACCTTCTCTCCTTCACTCTTCAGCTGATCCACGAAAGTATCCGCATCTCGATTCTTTCCTCCCAGCTTGAGAGCGTTTCTGGCAACAGCCGGTTTGCTACAAATTCCGAATCATTATTTATAACCTTGTTAAATTCTGTTTTCTACAACTAAATTCAACTCACGCAGCAGGTGCAGCCGGTTTAATTTCGCCAATAGCTATCGACGGAGTTGTAATTGCTGAATGATTAGACATGCCTGCGCTCGAGCTGCTTCCAAAGCCTTCGGAACTACCCCCACCGTAGGGTCGGCCACTGCCACCCATTTTCTTCTGTTCCATCCGTTGCCGTTGCAGTTCCTTCGCCCTTTCGCGACTCTTCTGCTTGGCTTCTCGTTCCTGAGTTTGTCGAACCGCCTGGTAAACCTTCTCCTCGTGCGAATCCATCTCAACGAATGTTTTAATCTGAGCCAGATTCACACTTTCCCTATACCCGAGGGCAACGATCTCGTCGAAAGCAAAGATCAGATCGAATGCATTCTCGATGATTTCCTTCTCTTCCAACGAGCGGCAATATTCCGGAATCTAAAACAATATTTAGTTACCTACTACAACCGACCACGGTAAACTCCTCACCAGCCACTTACCACTTTGGAGAAGAGTCGCAGCGTTTCCAAATCCTCCAGGATGTTACTGGCCTTGGTGGTGATCAATAGCATATACAGCTTTTCCAGCGGTTGATAGACATACCGCACGGAATCCGTCTCCACAAAAGTGTGCTGCTTTCCTGAAGTCATTAGTTTCGGAAAAGCAGCCAGCAGACCTTCGATGCGAGCCTTGGTCATCTCAACAAATTGCCGAGAGACAATTGCTACGGCGGGATAATCAACCTAATTAACAAATTCATACATCCCATCATTCATACATACTTTTTCCTGCTTTTGTGCAGACGGCGGCTGCTATCAGTACCATTTTGAATCTATATCCTCAGACCGTAGTTCCAGACGAGGGCATAAACACCAACAACGATGGGATCAACACTCACGAGTACAAGTCGCACGAAAGCTTGCAAGATTCCGGCTGACGTGTGAAGTTGTGACGTTTGCCCTTTGACTGCTTGAGATGATTATTTTTTTGTGCAATGAAAAACCCGCACTTAATCGCTTCAGAATCTATGCCAATTAAACGTACTCCACTGCGATCACCTTCGGACTTTGTTTTCCATAAATTTTCAAGAAGATGAAGCGAAAAAATTGCTTTTTCTTTGGATTTTCAACGAGCAAAAATTACACTTGCTAGCGACACACAGCACTTTTTGATCCTCTTTTTCGCTTATCTTGACAGATGACAGATTCCTTCGATTCCTTCATTCGCTTTCTGGCAGGGATCGTCATTGGAAATGTCAAAATACTATTCAAGGTTACCAGCGTAAACACATTAATGTGTACTCGCTATTTCAAAACTACCCAAATTTGGGTAGAATCCACCCTGATCCACTAAACCTACCCAAAAATGGGTAAACTATGTTGGGAGTGACAAGTTGACAAATGGACAACATCGACATGAATCCGATCGACTTTGTCAATTTTTCATCATTTTCATTGTCATTGTAACCATGATATTTACTGTCAAAACATTGGACATTTTTGTCCATTACCATAAAATAACAACGAAATTCATGGTTCACAACAATGGAAATCATGGTATTTGAGAAATTTATAGTAAAAAGGGGGGTTGTTAAGCATCTTAACAATATAAAAAAGTGATTTTTCCCGAACAAATTTGATCTCATCATACTAAATTTCGTTGTTTGAGCATTGTGTCGTTAAAAATCGAAATCTATTTTTTTCTCCCGTACAACAATTTAACAATAAATTTTAATGTACTCAAAATTCAACAGTAAAAATCATTGTAATTTCGTTGTTTTATTATCATTTTTTTCGGGAGTTTACCCATTTTTGGGTAGGTTCAGTTTTGACCAATCTGGGTGGATTCTACCCAAATTTGGCTAGTTTTGAAATAGCGTGTAAATTTCACACATTCGTGAAAAAAGAAGTCTACTCATAAAAAGTTCGACAGTGAGCTACTACTAAGCGAAACAATTTTCAAGAATTTGTTCAATGCAGAATAGTAACAAGATGTATTGGCTATCAAAAGCAACAGCAAACGCTCCGAGAAACGTTAAATGTAGCGAGTTATTAACAAAAGAGAATGCTCACTGTCGAAGAGTATTTTTACACGTTTTTCAAGCACGGTTTTTACTGCACAATGTACACGCTAACTTCAGTTTACTCACCGGGTGAGTCGATCGTATTCACTTTCGTCCGATGTTTCGAGTTGTCAAAAACGGAGTAAACAAGAAATATCAAACTGAGTAAAAGCCACTCAGTCAGCATAATCCTGGACTTAGAAAAAATGTCAACCATGTTGGAGGAAACGTCCTAGAAAACGGGTGAATGTTTCACTCAAAACGGGCGGAAATTCCTTCAGTGCTTATGGAAATGGTGTTGAGCCATTTTCTGCTCCGTTAGAATGAATCCGGAGCAGACAATTTTCATTTCCTTGAATAAAATCAAAACAAACCCCCCCCCCCCCCCCCCCAAACGGAAAATATCGCTAAGTGGATTTGAATCAGTCTACGTGAGAACGTCGTTTACTCAAAAGTGAGTCAACATAAGGCTTATGTTTTCTTATGTGTGTCAATGATAAAATAAAGATTGCTCGGATTCAATACTATATTTTATTAAAAAATCACAGCCATCAGATACCGCCCGCATAAACGCAAACGATAAAATCAGGGGAAACATGTCAGAAGGGTCTAACTCGAAACGTAAACAATGACTTGGATCGTCGGTTTCTTACGAATGACAGCACACCCACTCAAACTAACTAAATCATCTGACGGAGCTATGTTTGTTCTATGAGCTGGTTTAGTCAGATTCCGTGGGTGTGTGGTCATTGAAGACGACGTTCAAAGTCATTGTTTACGTTTCGAGTTATACCCTTCTGACATGTTTCCCCTGAAATGACATTACCGAAAATGGTTAAAAATTGTTTAAAATCCCTGCTTAATTTTAACTGAAATGGCTATGGAACGTTTGTGTGATAAAGTTTTCACCTTATTTATTAAGGTTCTTTGGAAGTGAACCTTACAAATAACTTGACAAATAATGGGTTGTTAATAGAAATACTCAGAGGGGGAGATGGGCGAATAAAGAATAAATTTGAAAGTGTTGCAATCGAACAGAAATTCAATCACCTTTATGTTTTGTGTGCTTCTCTAATTCAACTAGTTTTTGGAACCAAAAACAATGCAATCAACTATTATTTTGCACGTAAATCGAATCAAAAATAAAAATCATTTGAAATGCTAGCTTCTAGCAAGGGTTGCAAGATAATTTAGGAACAAATCTCGCGTCACTTTTCAAATAGACCAATGTAACATATCCACCATTTTGAGAAAATCGGAGTTGAAGTTCGACAGATTATTATTTTAACTGTTTAGAAACAATACATTTTGCAATACTATTTTTAATGTAGTCAGTGAATAATAACGTTGAAAATTCAATAGAAACGGCTAGCTATAGTCGCTATATTCACACTGATAAATTGAATCATTCCCATTTTGCTTGAAATTTAATCAATTTAACATTAAACTCCGTATAATCATATCGAATGATTAAAAATTATTCCTATCTTTCTAAAAAATATGCATCTGATATTAATCCCAACTAAATCATGGTTGATTAGATTGTAGATTATCTTTTTTAGAATAAATTTTAATCAATTTTGATTCTATTTTAATAATTTTTGATTGAATTTTAATCTTTTTTGATTATATATCAGTATTGAAAAAGACTAAAATTTAATACTGGAAAGATTATTTCGATTTTAATCATGCATGACTACTGCCGAAGTAATCATGGCTCGGGCTCAATAAGGTGAAGCGGGAATCTGCATACTTTTTAAGCTTTTTTGATTTAATTTATCTTTGAGTGCATAGTCTGGCGGATAGAATTTCGATCTAGCAAAAAGCGGAACCAATCTCGGAACCAATTCAATATATTGTAGACCAACAATTGAAAAGGTACTATCAACTTTTATAAACAAAACGTTGATTATAGTACGTTCAGACTACAGAGTTATAACATGTTATAGCGCTATCTTGATGGTGGTTTCTGTGTTGCAATTATTTGACAACCGTTATAACATGTTATAACGCTCCAGTCTGGACAGCGTTTTATTCTTTCCTCGCCAATCGAACGCAAATTACCGGCATTATCGCATAGTGGAAACTATCCTCAACCTAAAGATGATGTTAATTTGTGTATGCGAGCCTTAAGTCACGAGAACAGGATTTCCGAAGTTTTGTTCGCAATAGCTGATGTGCTCTTTTCTGTTGTTGGTCGTGATTTGCTCGATTGGTTCCGCTATTTGAGAGCTCAATTGGTTCCAGAGATTCTATCCTTTTTTTTTTTTTTTTTTTTCCTTTATTATAGAGATTTTTAGCCTGAGGCTAGTTCATCTCTTAATAGAGATTCTATCCGCCAGACTATGAATATAGCGACTATAGGGGAAACATGTCAGAAGGGTATAACAAGAAACGAAAACAATGACTTTGAACGTCAATTTCTCTTGAATGGCCACACACTCACGGAATCTGACTACACCAGTTCATAGAACGAACATTTATCTGTCAGATGGTTTAGAGCAACCGTAACGGTCGTTGTCATTTGCGCGACTATTTTAACAGCGCACAGCGCTCTCATTTTAGTTTAGTCACTCTTCTCCACACCGGTCGCTGCTATCGCGGTTATCAATTTACTCGCCGTAGTCCGTACCGGTAGTGAGCATTTTGACATTTCTACGAATAGCAACCTTTCTTCCGCGCTGCTAAATTTGGTAACGCGCTTCTCACCGAGCTTCTCACCGAGAAGCCGACTGCTATTTTAGTTACTCGTATGGCAACCCCCGATACGGTAGCTGCGCTATATGATGAGGGCTGCTAAAATGAGTTTAGCAGCGTACCGTTACGGTTGCTCCTAGTTAGTTTGAGTGGGTGTGTTGTCATTCGTAAGACCGACGATCCAAGTAATTGTTTACATTTCGAGTTAGACCCTTCTGACATGTTCCCCTGAATTCTTTCCCATTTGTGGCACAGACCTAAATGGTTCAAATATCTAACAATTGTAAGGTTCTATTAAAATTAACTGACTAAAAATATCACTTTGACCCACCGTGCTCTACCACCGTGCCTGACGCTGTCAAAAAAGCTTTTTGTTTGTCATCATTGTGCTGGTAGATTTTCGATAGTTTCGACGGTTTTTCATAAAATTTCCCGGAAAAATGGCTCTAGCCGATGTGTGCGGACTTCCCAGTGGAGGCCTATTGTCCGGTGCCTCCATGGGTCACCAATTTTTCCAGCGAGATATCGCTCTCAACAGCCAAAACCTACACGACAGTTTCTCGCTTGCAGTTCCACCGTTCCAAGATGTAAGTTTCGACCGGATGAAGGTTATGTTTTTTTTCAACTAATAATACCGAGTCATTGTATTTTGTCCCTTTCCCTACAGCCGGCCCAAAATTTGGCCAAACTACAAGCCCATGGCGAATCCAGTGGAATCAAGATGGAGTTCGATCACGGCACCACAACACTCGGTTTCCGTTTCCAGGGTGGTGTTATCCTGGCCGTGGATTCCCGTGCTACCGGCGGTCAGTTTATTGGCTCACAGACGATGAAGAAGATTGTGGAGATCAATGATTATTTGCTGGGTACGCTGGCCGGAGGTGCCGCTGATTGTGTGTACTGGGATCGGGTGCTGGCAAAAGAGTGCCGTATCTATGAGCTGAGAAACAAGGAAAGAATTTCGGTAGCGGCAGCTAGTAAAATCATGTCCAACATTGTCTACTACTACAAGGGAATGGGATTGAGCATGGGAATGATGCTGGCTGGTTATGATAAGAGGGTGAGTAGAAGATGGTATTGTTTCGAGAGACGTCTGGATTGACTTTCAATGTATTCGACGCAGGGCCCACAACTGTACTACATCGATTCCGAAGGAACGCGTACTCCGGGTAAGGTGTTCTCAGTCGGCAGTGGTTCCATCTACGCGTACGGTGTACTAGACTCCGGCTACCGATGGGAATTAACCGACGAGGAAGCCCAAGATCTGGGTCGACGTGCGATTTATCATGCTACTCATCGTGATGCCTATTCTGGCGGCATCGTGCGAGTGTATCACATCAAGCCGACCGGATGGGTTAACATTTCCAACCAGGACTGTATGGATCTGCACTTCAAGTATCAGGATGAGAAGCAGCAGAAGTTTGGCTCATAAATAGGTTTGCATTATTCGATAACGTACACATACTGCTAATAATTGGTATTGTAGCTGTGGTCAGCGAAATATAATTTAAATAATTCCTTTGAACCTTCTCTTTACTTAAAATTTAAAATTAACTTTAAGCATCCCATTTGCCAACAAGAGAATGTAAGATTCTCTACATTTTTGTATACAATATATTCATTGTATAAAGCGAAGAATTCATTGAAACGTGCCGACATAAGTTGGATCATATAAGCCGTTCACACATGGAGTCGGAGACGTAGAAAACTCCACGACCGAAGAACTTTTTCAGGCGCACAGATTTCAAATTCAGCCCAAATCCCGGCGGAATCGGTTTCGTTTATTAGCACTTTTGCTGGTTAATCGTCCGCTTACGTTCAAGACCCAGGAGTAGTCAACTGTCCTTTTTGGGTGGAAGGTTCACTGAATCATTCCAAGGAAGGTAGCGAAGGGCATAAGGAACGAATCTCCTTTGTACAGATCCAATTATAGATCTAGGTAGGTATTTAGGATCCCGAAACTTATAGATCTTGAAGACGAATTCCGTCCGAGTAAGTAGCTCAAATGTCAAAGCAGCGTCAAGTGTAATTCCATTCTTGTAATGCACTGCTCTTCGAAACTGTCCATCAGGAGCTGCAATCGCAAGCAATTAGCGGAGCATCGCACCAACACATATATTATAATGGTTTTTAGGACAGCCAAGAAATAAATAAAGGGATTACTGTAGTCGGATAGATAAGCTAGAAGTGATAGTTCTTAGGGAGTGTTCTTTTAAGTTCTTCTCTTCTTTATACAATTTTCATTATTATCATATGTTATGACTAAATTTAGAGAATTTTTTATTTTTCCAAATTCAAATTAAATTACATTTCATTTTAACCTACACCACTACACCAACCAACCATAACCATCCAACGATTGAGTTATTTAAACTTACTTTTGAGTTGATACCTTTCACTTGCTCTCTTTCACTCTTGTTGTCAAAAACGAAAAGAGTAAAACAACCCAAAATTGAGTTCTATTCACCCAACTCGACGGTTTCGCCAAGTTAAAATTGAGTAAGTTGTCTAAAACTCAATTTTGAGTAGTTTGAACTTGACGTTGAGTGAAAACAACATAAAAGTAATAGCGAATTCGTTTATTATTCAGTTCCAACCTGGATCGGGTATCAAGATTGGGTCTGCTTGTTTTCTAGCAAACGTCAGTTTGATCGTTTGTTTTTAAAACCTGGCACGGGTCGAGGTTTGCACTGACATAAAGTTCGGGTTCGCACGGGTTGGAACTGGTTCCAACCCCGCTAATAAACGAATTCGCTATAAGTAATCCTGTTTACATGTGAGTAAATGACACCAATTCAAAATTGAGTAGGCGCTAGAACCATAGAGGTAACTCTAAAGGGCCACCCACATTAGATCCTTTTGCGATGCGTTGACGTCAATAACAGTTAGACATAAAATTTAGCTGTCACTTTGCCGCAACGCGTCCGATCCGGATCTAATGTGCGTGGGCCTTAAGAGTAGGTTCCAAAGAAACGTGCTCAACTTTTTGGCTCAGCTCTGGTACTATCTTCGGTCCCAAGCTAATCGATTCACCCCTCGAAACATAGCAAAATCCGCTAACCCCTCATTTTATCTGTCAAACTTTCATATCGAATCAAAACAAACATTGTGTAGTACTAGAATTGTTACTAGAATGGGGTACGTTAATCGATTTGCTTGGGACCAATACTGCCGTTATACGCATAAGAGTCCCACGGTGCATAAGGATTGCCTATAACATGTGACAGTTATGCGTATAACGGCAGAATAGGCTAGTCAAGTAGTGAGCCAATTTAAAATCGATAGTTTCGTATTGATTGTCGATGGTACCACATCTTCATTTCGTCGTTGCCGGTAAATTCGAACGTCCGGAACCTAAACAAGGCCGAAATTGTCTTGCGTACATGAGTTTTCCACAATGTTAAACATCCTTCGGTAGCATTGAGATAGGTATACACGGAGAACAAATTCGTTAAGTTAAGATAACAATCCTAATAGTTACTTTCACATGGAAAAATATTGTTGTTTGAAAAGAAACCTATAGTTATTCCAACATTAATTTGAACGTCAACTCAATCATATCTACCTAGTAGATTCAACTGTTCATCTTATACTCAATTCAACTATAACTTTGATCAATTATAACAACCGTCAAATGTAATTTATTTATATAATTTGGTTTCAAATGATCATCATAAATCCACATACTTTTAACTTGTGATGCGTAGAGCAGGCGATAAGATAGCTGGTTCTCACGCAGATGAACACGGTTCAAATCTAAGTTGAATGTTCTTGTTCACTTTTTTATGATTTTGCAGTTGTGTTTTTGAGATCGATAAGGAAGCAAAACAAACTTCCTTAATATGTCGATAATGAAGAGCAGTTTGTTTAATAAACATTGTAAAATTTTGCTTTTCTAACAATAGTTTTCTTGAATCAACTAAAGCATAGTTGTATTTTGAAGATTGACGTTTGTTCATCTACTGAAAAATATAGTTGAGCCAACTGAGGAGCCAACTATGGACTATAGTTGTTGCCCTCTATATATAGTCAAATCAACTATAGTTTCGGGTTATCTCTAAAACAATTGAACAATATAGTTATTTTGACCGGAAAAATAATTGCGTCTGCTATAATTTGTTCTCCGTGTATTGATTCATTCATAAGAGTGATTAACAGATTGGAAGTATAACATAGCCAATATATAACTCAATGGACACGGTTGATAGCAAATCAAGTTAGTCAATTTTTTCCTCGACGAAAAGAGACAGGACCGATTCATAAAGTAACGAGTTGGCAGATTATTGCACGCAAAACCAACGTGAATTAATTCAAAACAAAAATATTAGCGAACCTGGCGGTGAGCGGCGGAAGGTGGACTAAAATTCTATTACAGAGAACCACATTATTTTAATTAATTTCTTCGGAGAAAGTCGTTTGTCACTTTGTTTGTGCTAGTAGCTTATTGAACGATAGTCATGAGAAAGTCGAATCTCTCGTTCCGTTTTTTCCGAATCTCTCGTTCCGACAACAACAAAAAGTGCACAGCAAAAAAAAAATGTAATACCCATCAATGTAATTCACGCGACTTATGACCAACCACTACTCGCTAGATGCGCATCTCAATAGAATAAACCTCGTGGACAGCAACATATGTCGGTGTGGAAACGGTTACGACGACATCGATCACGTAGTTTGGCAATGTACGGATAATGACGCCGCCAGAGAGCGACTTTTGAATACCCTCGAGGCCCAAGGAAGACAACCCTATATTCCTATCAGAGACGTGTTGGGTACCCGCGATCTCTGCTATATGCAGTCGATTTATGTGTTTCTGCAAATGTCTAGTATAAGAATTTAATTCGTTTGTCTTTTGTCTCTCTTTATTAGTTTTTGTTTGTCTTGTCCCCCGTCTCGATGAGTCTCATCGTCGCCCACTGGTCACCATAGCCGGTCGAACTCCAGACGAATCTAGAACCACACTACCGTTCATACTGGCGACATCACTCTGATGAGACAACGAAACCCTACCCAAGCTCCTCCCCTTTTCCTATCCTTCGACAATGTACCCCTCTAACCTCGAGTAAGCCGCGAGTAATCGGCCCAACTCCTACTAGACATAGAATTAAGTGAATTTTGTTACAAACAAAGAACAATGAATTATCGGCTCCGTAAAGCTAACGCGATTGAGCCTTACAAATAAACGAACTAGATAAAAAAAAAATGTAATTCACGCTGATGTATGAAATAATGATGTAATAGCAAAACGCAGATACAATATTACATCAATGGATGTCATTTTGTTCGCAAAATCGATGTACATCATTCAACGTTATATTACACAACCGATGGATTGACCTGGTTGCAGCAGTTTGGATGTAATATTCAACAACTTTTTTTTCTGTGTGAGAGTGGGATGCAAAACCGAGTGCAAAACTCAAAATTACCCAAATTACTTATATGTAGAGTTTTTTTTCTCTGTGTAGCACCGGTGTAGCTACACCGCAAAAATAAAAACAACCTTAATCGAACTTAAAAAAATCGACCTTCTCACTCAAGATCGCCCATTACTACTTTCCACACACTGAAAAAAGTTTTCACTTATGTACACTCAAAAAATATTGGAAGCTAAATAGTATAAAAGTTACGCTAAATCGCAACTCTCCGTGCCGACGCAAAGGTCGGTATAAAGGGAGAGAATACAGACTTAGTATAAAAATGATTTATGCCTGCCATAGTATAAAATCGGTTTATTCGAGGGAATGTATTTTCTGCTTCTTTTTCGTTTAATGCTTAATATTATTGTTTTAAAATAAAAATTAAAGTTTTAATTAAAGTAAAAGCAGTACCATAAAATTATCATTATCGAAACCCAGGTTTATCATTACGCGACGTTTTGATCTTTGATAGGCGGCTAAAACTTGGGTCCACCTGGAATGGTCATATTCAACGTTTTGGCCGTTAAGTCGAACAGATAGAAGAAATTACTGTGCATCAACAGATTATTGGCTAATCGATACAGGGTTGCCATTGATGGCAGACTCTGATTCCACTTCCGGCAGGCTTATATGCTTCTTTCGATCAATGAGCGGACGATGTTTGCAGAACCATTTGAGAACGTTACCACCTTCAACGTGAACTGAAAAACGACTACGAGTGCCATCGTGTTTGACATTGTCATTTTTGATCGTTTTAGTATACACTGATCGAATTCCACTCCGATAATCGGACTTAGTATAGTTTTGAAGAAAATATTAATCGGACCAATGTATAAATTTTGATTAATAATAAAATGCATAAAATTTAATCAATGTTGGTTTTGTAATATTTTTGAGTGTAGTTTTCGTTTTTGCTAAATTGCTAAATTTGCTAAATCGCAACTCTCCGTACCGACGCAAAGCTCTGTATAAAGGGAGAGAATGCAAACTTAGTATAAAAATTGTTTATGCGCGCCATAGTATAAAATCGAAACCTACTTTCAATGCATAGATACGGTTTATTCGAGA